CTAAACACGGTATATAGAAATCAGGGATCATCTCGGATCCGGGATCCAGATTCGGCAATTTGAAATCTAGATGCCGTGTTTAGAATTCTGGGTGCATCCATGGATCCACCGTTGCCCCCAACAGTTTCACCTGACGGTTCTTGGATTCAAACACGGCAATTGCATTGAAGTTGCTTTCTGTCCAAAACAAAAGCTAAAGGGTGTCATACCGTCGAGTCGTTCTATGACCTTTTGTTGAAGTCAATACTATTTGGTGGAGAAGGCTTTCCTGGGCAGTGGCGAATCTTGAATCAAGGAGACATGTTTTGTTCAAGAGGTGCTTTTGTTTGCTCAGAGAAACTTACTCGGAGAAGTTGTGCAGAGAAACTTGCCCAGAGAACCTGCACAAAGAAATTGCACTAAAAGACGAAGCTGCTTCTGTGCAAAGATCGGCGGTTGTTTTTGCTATGCTGGTATACCTTGCCTGCGACTTGGTAGATTCTGCTTTCGGGCCACTTGCCTTCTAGCTTTCCTCTCTTTGGACCAACCTGACTGTGAACCACCACTTCCATTACCTATGGGGTTTCAAAGCGAAGTTGACGCGAGCAAAGGACAGTATTGCCGGAGTATGGGCTTTGGCTAGTTTTTGCCCGTTCTTTGGTGGCAACATGGTCGGGTCTTCCCATAGCTGGTGACAGTTTAGGAGTTTTTGAGTGGCAACTTCAGCGCACAAAGAACCTTCCCGAGGCCCGGAGAACCAACCAGCCCCGTAACTCGACCTGAGATTAACAGGGCTCCTTAAAAGATACAGTTTGCCCATTTGAGCCATGGCTTTTTCCACCACAATGAAGGGAAACCACCATTTGTAAGGCAATGTTCAGGTGTATAATGTAAGGATCCCTGATTAATAGGGTGTCTCCCTCAAAAGTCATCCAGATTCCCTCTTGAACGGGCTGTAAGAGCCCACTTTGATTGGAACGGGGTGGGGTAAAATGTAAAACCAGTTCCCTCGCGATCGTGGAACAATCATGTGTGTAATTCCTTGGCCTCTAACTTGTATCACCCCCTATGAATCCACTAGGTTGATTCATCCCGTGTTTGGCTCTTAAATGGAGTGTCACCTATGCCGAAAAATCACCCCTGCATGTTCTGATTGCCAAAGCCGCCAGGACTTTATGAAGATGAAGAAGCGTGCCTGACACGGAGTTGGATACTGCTGATTCTTAGTGCATAAAGGCTTCCATTTGCTTAATACACATGTCGTGTATTTTTCCCGTTGGGTTTAAAGGGAATCTATCACGATAGGACATATATGTTTTTGCGGCGGACTTAAGGACTTAAGCAACTGGACGAAGAGGGATTTTGGGAATGAACCTGGGAGGAAACCACAAGGGATGGTTCATAGGGGACGCTCTCACTCCCTGCTAACCCGTAAGATATTGTCGCCAACACACTCGCTCCCGCGTTGCCCTGGCACTTGTCAGCTTTTTCAAGAAGAGATTGATTCAGGTACCCTCCCAAAGGTGCAATGTGTGTGGGAGGAAGAGCAACTGCAACTGTTGTTGGGCTGTTAAAATGAGATGTTCGGCCTACTCAACCAAGGGTTTGTTAAGTCTGGGCTTTTCGTTGGTTACATTGTAAGATCTTTTGATTGTTTGCTCCTCGGCAACCGGGAGCCATAGTCAGATTCTTCTGACCTGCAGCTTGGCACAACAACCCAAGACCTAGGCAAATGATCCTCCGCAGGTAAGACGACCCAGGAGGAAGGCCCTGGCCTACCTATCACTGCACTGGGTTTGTTCGTGGACCGCGGAAAATGTCGTATGATTTTTTTTGCTTCCCGGACAAACCGTTCATGACATGCAAAGCCGCTAGATATATATATATATATACATATTCTTAGGTCAAGTCGGATGGAGGCCGTTTCAATCGGGGCAAACTCCAACCGAGGGTCCCGACTTCTGTTTGCTCGGGCCCGGAACCGGTCCGCGTCTGGAAAAATCACCCAGCCGGAGTGAGTCTCTGACCCTTGGAATCAGCCGAGGTTTGGAGATTCTATAAGGCCTCAGAGGGATGTACTGTGGATGGACGAAATCCATTTCGCACCACTTGCAAACCATGGGAAACCATTGTTTGTTTTTACAGAAGAATCATCATTCCAGGGTTTCTTAGGTTGTGCAGGATTTCGTCCATCCACAGTATCACCTGAAATGACCTTGATTGTGTCGTATGGAATGTTCGCGACGTCCCATTATCTACTGCTCATTTGCTGAGGGCACACCGAATGTCACCCCCGCAGCAAACGGTGAATTTTGACTGTCGCTCATGTGTCATAGCTTCGGGCTCCTGAACATGTTGCTGTTTGCTCTGGGTGGCCCCTCTAAAAACACAGTCTTGGAGGCAGGGAAAGCAAAATGCATATTTGAATACAAGTTGTAATTCCCAAGCTGGTAAACCCCTCGCCATGTTCCTGTTGGTCTTAGGTTGGGAGCCTTGGCTACTTACACAGCCATGTAAATGGACTCACTCACCAAAACCGGGAGCGTACCTCACGATTGGATTCGAGTCTCGCCAGGCCGGTGCATCGGGAGTACCGCGTGCTGGTGGATACCTCTTTGAGGCCATCCGGCCTCATCCTGGGTTCAGGCTCAAGAAATCGACACACAACTATATACATATATACACAGACGGAAATATATATATATATATATATATACAGCCAAAATATGGGGGTTGCTTTGGATGGTTGCAAGGGAAACCGAACGACAAACCACCTAATTTGGAGGTCCAAGCGAAAAAAGACGCCCATGTGGAACAGAGTCAGGACATTCCCTTGCTTCATCCGCAGGTTTGGGCAATCCAAGATTATGTAGGCCAACCTTTAATGGCTTGGTGGCTCCCGCCATCCCCTTGGCTTCTTAGCTTTTTAGGGTTTAGTATGGGTTTCCACTTGACCCACTAAAGATCAAGCTTTTAGCAGGGGATCTGAGGGCAGCCCAGACGGGAGCTTCCCAGCGTCCCTCAAATTTCCCTGAGGAGGGCGGGTTTGAAGATCACCTGAACTTGTTTTTGGTGGGGTGATGTTTGGCGAGCCTTCCAGTGTTGGCCACTGCAGTGCTTGTGATGTGTCTTGCTACTTGGCAAATGGAGTTCTGTTTGGGTTGGTGTTTTGAGAGGAGCCCGTTTCAGGGTGGGGTTAGCCAACTTTGCCGAGGGCCGAAATGCTTGAATCTGTTTGCGGCCCAAACTACCTCATGATCAGAATGATGCTTGGAACTTGTTCGCCCCCCGCTCCCCTGGTTCTTTGCTCAAAAGTTGTAGTTTGCAAGGCCAGGCAGCGACACCAACGGTGACGTCTACATCCAGCTGCAGGCGGAGTCGGACCCCCCCCTCCGCTTGCCTCCCTCCCCTCCCATCCCTCTCTTTCCTCCCAAAAGGAACCTACACGTGGGGTCATTATCCCAGTTGCCCAGTGGGACCCCTTTTCCCTCTTTTGGGTCGGGTTTTTCTTTGAAGTCAACCATCCCAAAAAGGACGAGTCCTTTTTTCCATGGACACTGATCTGAGGGTTGACCCCAGCCCAGTTTGTCCAATGGTAGAAATCGACCTCCATAAAACCGCACCGCGAAATGAGTTGCCACGGGAATGCAACCAGAACGGTGGCCCGTATTTGCGTCGGGGGTTTTCGCATCAGAAACCGTTGGGTTTTTGAGTCCGGTGGCGCGAAATGGATTCCCCGAAACACTCGCGGTGGCTTTGGGCTTGGCTTCAAGCATTGAGCTCAATAGGACTGAGGGTGACAGGAGGTTCCAGGTGAAAAGTCCGTTGGTTGGCCAAGCATGGCTTCCCCCAAAAATCCACAGCTTCAGGTCCAACCGGATGCCCATGGCCATTGTTTGAAACCCAGGTTGGTTTCAGGTTGGCCATCAGTGGTGGCCTTGAATCAACCATGTTGAGGGGAGCAGCTTGCACCCCCGCCCTTTGCTCTACAATCCTATGAAGACCAATAGCGTCTTCTATGAGAATGCGTCAGAGTGCAGGGACCCCCCCCACCCCCCAGAACAAGAAAAAGTGTCTTCTTTCGGTTTCCAACCCGGCAGTGGGTTGCGCCAGCAAAAAGACCGGCAGCTTTGGCCCTTTTGGGGGTACTTTCAGTCTCCTTAGCCCGACGCCAGAGCGTCGGACCTCCGAAACCATGATCCCCTACAAAGCTTTTGCTGGTCCGATAGCTCGGGAAAATGACAGCGAGCGCGGGTGGGAATGAGCCGGTTTTGGGGATCAGAAAAAGGAAACCGCAAGGGATTGTTGAAAGGGGTCATTCCAACTCATTCCCTGCCTATCGCACCAGCAAGTAAATGCGCCATCTATTGAAGATCGTTTTTCCCAGATCTCGCCCCCAGGAGTAAAACTGGGCGAGTTGTGTTCCCCCAGCCAGACCTCAGCCTTGTTACGGGGGTCCAGGATCCGAGCTTGCACCGCCCCCAATTGAACATTTGTACCTGGGTGGACGCTCGGCAAAGTTACATTTTCCCGTTTCAAGGGATTTGCTTCTGTTGACCCCTAGTTACCCTATGAAAAAGTATGGTTTGCTCCCCCAGCCAATATTTAATAGGGGGGCGGGAGTAGTTGTTTTAGGGGGAAGGGACTGCACTTGATTTCATTTGAATAGTTTTCAAGGACATCGGTCGCAACCCGAATTATTTGTCAGCCGGCCCCAGCATGCCGGTGTGACTGGGTGACGCAGCCGGTTATGTTAAAAGGAGAGTATGAAATGAGTTAATACTGTGGATGGACGAAATCCTGCACCACCCAAGGAGCCCTGGAATGATGATTCCCCTGCAAATACCAACAAGCAATGGTTTCAACCATGGTTTCCAAGTGGCGCGAGAAGCGGATTTCGCAACCATCCACAGGGCAAAACAAATGCTAGTGTACCGTGACTGACCAAGAGGTTGGAAAATTTGACTCTGGTTGCAGCCAGTCCTTTGAGTTGATGGCTGGCGGCCTTTTTTTCACTGGATCTCAAGCTTAAGCTATGAGCTTCAGCTCTTAAATTTTATATCCAACGAAGCCACGCCATGGCGTTCCTCAAAGCTTGCCTATTGGCAAGTCTACTTGAGGCCCAGGGCAACAAGTTCTTTTCTCGCGAGTCTGATGCAGTGGCCAGACACGGAGAGTGATTCCGTTTGCTTTTGATCATTTGTTGTTTTTCCCTGTTTGGTTTTAAAAGGAGTCGAATTCACTACTGCACAGATTTTCCATTTTTTTCCAGGGGGCGTTTTTCACTCAAATGGAAGCATGGAGGGAGAGTCCTTTTAAAATCAAGCAGCCAAACCGGGTGCCCCTCTCTTTCTTGCCATGGCGACTGGGCTGAGGCAAACAATTCCGATTGCGCCATGGTGGCGGGCGAAAACGTGTGTGAGCGCTGGGTGCCATTGTGGGGCTGTGACACCCCCTGGAACCATGGCTGCCAGTCACAGACCGCTTTGACAATTTGAAGCCACAGTTTAAAAAACAAAAACAAAACAAAAAACAGAAGGAACTTTTAGCTCGCCAAATACCCACCAAATTCTACACAATTTCCTCTAGAACTTCCTATTCCTGGCTTGCCCGCTTCTTCGGCCTGATCCGAGGAGTGTCTACTGCAGGGAGGACCATCCTCTAGGCCCGGACCACAACGAAGATACCTTGGACACGATGTGCCACGCCCATTGCCTGCACGCGATCGTGAACGGGACCAACGGGACGAATATCACCCAGGCCTGGCAATTTGTTTGCTTTGAGGGTTCCGTTCTTGGGATTGGCCTCACTCCCTGAGTTCCTGGACTTTAAACTTTTTGGGAAGACCATTTTAGTGGTAAACAGAAAGTTTGAACTTTTTTTGGCCCATCCACTCAGGAAGTGAGTGGCCCATTTTTGGATGACAGGTAGACGAGATCAAAGTGGTTTACCTTCAACCGATGGGTTAAAGTCTGCACAGCCGAAATATGCGCCCATTCCACCCCCAGACCAAAGCTGCGGGGTCCCGATACAATGAGAAGCTTCAAGCAGAAAACGAGCCAGACTTCGGATCTAGATGATTTTAGACTTCATATACTTATTTAGCCAGATTTCAGATTCTCCAAGATGATTTTGAGAAGCTCCGGGTGGACCAAGTATTGTGAAACAGAATCTCAATATTTTCTTCGTACCACCCGTGTTGGGACATGGTCCCTATTCAAAACATGCGGCTCGAAGACTAACACCGTGGTGCAAGCCTTTCAAAGATGACTAAACCAACAAACCGCGTTTGGGCAGAACTTTGATATTGGTAAGACTTGTGGTCAAGGGTAAAGACAACGACCAAATCACAAGGGGAAACCAACTAGTGTGGGTTTCCGTTGGTTTCTGGTGAATGCAGGGACCACAGTTGTTCTACCAACTGGATCCCCCCCTTATGAACGGTCCCCTTAGACATTTCCCCTGATTGTGGTGTATCTTAAGAAGGAGGATTGAGGATCCCAACTTTGGTGGTTTTCTTTTTGGTTTCCCTTCAACACATTGCAAAAGGTTGGTTTCACGAACAAAAAGACACCCATTTCTCTTTGCCAGGGAAGCGTCCGTTGATGCTTCACTTTTTGGTGGAACACCCCCCATATGGATTGAACATGTTTCTGCTGATGTCCTTTTGGTCGACATTCTCTCTCGCAGGCCAAGCTTTTTTTTCATTTGCCATGGACATCGGGGGAGCTAAGGAGCCATACTCGAGGTTCCAAGTGGTAAAGAGCGCAGCTACTTGCTGCATCACCCTTTTCCAACTGGAGGTGAGCTTCCTTGGCTTGGGGAACATGCTTTCATGGCGCAAAAGCGCGGGCCAGCGGTGCTTCTTTTTTTCTTTCTTTGCTTCTTTCTGTTCCGCAACTTTTCAGGCAGCCCTAAATTTGGTGGCTTGGATTCTTGACTGCTGGATTGGATCTTTAGACTTTCACTTTTTGGTTGAAATCAAGGGTTTTCCACAGGGTCAACAGCAACCAAGGATTGAGGGATGCGTTCACGACCCCATTTCACCCCCGGCTCCAAGCCCATTTCGGATTTCGGATGCCGAACCGCCGAAGCCGCAGGTGGTGGAGCAGAAGATGGAAGCAATTCAGGCGATGATTCGAAACCTCTACAAGCTCGCGGCGCGGCTCACGAAAACTCGCAAGGTGATAGAAGTATATACATATATATAGACCTGGGTCTACTTGCGAACCCCTGGGTTGAAGTCTATCCTGGGGTAGTCAAAAAGTGGAACCCTGTATATATAAATATGAATTACGTCCACACAAAGTACTTGGACCCATTCGAGATGGTTGTTTGACCCCCGTCATCGAGCCCAGTGTTTGTTAACGCTGATGGTTGAAGTCGAACTTCCGCTTACAGGCACCTCGAAATGAAACCTGGGGAATGAACCGGAACGTTTGGTATTTGCAGGCGAATCGAATTCCAGGGTTTCTTAGGTGACAGGGGTGTGGAGCCCTCTGCAAAAGTGGTCTGATTCCCCACGAATTCAACCAGGTTGGCACCAACCCTATTCATAAACTGGGGTTGATTAATATAGAGTCGCCAGCACCGAATTTGTGCCAGTGGCCGCCTCACTCGAAAAACCGACCAACAACTCCAACAGGGTTTCATTTGGTTTACCTACAGGTAGACTTAACCTGAGGGGCACTCCTGGGTGTGCGCTAAACCAATAGAGCCTGGGCGCTGTCACGGCCCTCCTACCTCCCAACCCCTCCAATAAAGATTCAGAGGTGTGTTTGGGTGGTGGTTTGGGGGTTGCCTTTTGCTCCGCTGCAACTGAACACGCAATTTGGAGCCCAAAGGGTCCGCTTTTTGGGGTTTGGGGTTTATGTTGACTGCATGGGAGTAGCTTTGTGCACCCTTTGGGTTTGTCGTTTTCTGAAAGAACCCCCAAATGTCTGTGGTTTCCCATTGGTTGCCGCTTGACGCTCCCTCAAACATGTGACGCACCCATTGTCCAACCTGAGAACCGGGAGGTCGGTATGGGTCAAAACTAGTCAGGAAATGGACCTCGGGTTTTTCAGTCCTTGTGTCCATCAGGACCTATTTGGCTGTAGCTCAAAAAAAACGGGTACCAAATGGCTTGCCCTGGTAAGTGGAAATTTGGACCAAAACCTGCGGTTTGCCCCTCCTGTTTGATTTTGAGCCACACCCATTTTGGGGTTGCCCGATGTTTGACACCCAGCTCTCACCTCAGATCCGCGAATCTGAGGCGGCAGAGGCCAGGGCATCGGGGAATCTGGAGAAAGCCAAGCGTCCCGGCCACACTTTGCAGACCGCTTTTCCCGTGTTTTTGCCGTTCCTTACTTGTCCCTTCCAGCAAGACGGCCCCAAAAACCACTGGTTTGTCCCCTTAGCGGCGAAAAACGGCCCCGGGTTTCGTGGGTTTTGCCGGAGAAACGGGGGGGTCTGGGGTCTGGCGATCCGTCCGTCAGGCATCTGGAAGAGGTGGCCAACGCGGAGGCTCAGAGGGAGCTGGGCTACATCCCAGGCCTGGACCTCGATCCGGAGCTCCTTGAAGCTGAGGATCAGGCAAGCGAAAGTTGGAACTGAAGCCACAGGGGCTGGGATTTGACGATCGTTTTGTGTTTTGTTTGGCTGAAGCAAAAGGGGCTCTTGGGATTTGACGATTGTTTCTTGGTGTTTTGTGTTGGTTCAAATAGGGGTGTAAGGTTGGACGCCCCTTAAAACCACGGTGTTGTCAATTTGGTGTCCGTTTAAAACCAACGCCAGAGTTGGGCCACGGTCTGGGCAGGCGGCCCGCGCTGCTGCCGTGAGGGTGGTCGAGTCTGACTTTGAGGGCGAAACAGATGTGATCTTCAGCGGGGTGAGGATCGACCAGGGCATCGTGCAGCACTACCATGACGCTCCGATGACTCCGATGGCTCGATTCGACCGCTTGTTGTTTGCGACTCGCACCGTTGCGAGCCTGGAAACCAATGAGCAATCACACGACCACTGCTCAATGGCCTTCCATTCTACAAAATGCAAAATGAGTGGGTTTTAAAGAGAACGATGGGTTTTCCGAGAACGGGAAATCAACCCTTACCACGATGGTTTAAGCAGGCTGTTGAATTCCCTCAAGGGGAGTGCTTCTGGGGAAGCACCGCGACTCGTGTAACCGCTTTCGGCTTTCTCCATTCTTCCTCCGCTTTCGGCCCACTTGCTGGATTGACCCAACGTTCCAGGGATCTTTTTTTGTTTTGATAAAAAGGCCAAACCAAAAGGGAATGTTGGGTGGTTTCTCAGAGAACCATGGGCCAACAGACCAAAGACAGGCTCAAGAAGCTGTGCCCCGCTTGATTTTAATAAACAAAACGGGGTACCCCACCTTGTTGCTTTGGCTTTTCCGTTCCCCTTACCCCAAAGAATAGCCAACAAGTGCAGCATTTTAGACGCAACTGGAATCCACCATGGGATAAACAATTACATGAGAGTTTAACTTTGCTGAATCTTTCCAAGAAGCAGACGGTTGGATGTTGGACCATCGAAGAAATCCCAGGAATCCCAATTTGTCCACTGCATTTAGCCAGACTCAACTCACCTTGCCCTTTTTCTCAAATGTTCTGGGATCTCCAAGCATATTGTACATCTTAGCGTAGACTAAATATGGAACAGAGTCATATATCATTTTGTTGGTGTACCCAAGGCCAAAATTCGTAGTTTCCTTCATTTCCCCCTTAAACGAGCCAGCATTGAACTTTCTGGAGGCCTGAGTTTGGTCAAGGTTGGATCTCCCCTATGGTTGATCAATATTCCCTGCCCCAAAATGACCATGGGTAATGTCTTCCAAAAAGATAATTAGTAGGAAACATCTTAGATATCTTTGGTTTTCCAATGGTCATCCCATCGGACCTTTTGATCAACCCTCATACTGTGGATGGTTGCGAAATCCATTTCGCACCAATGGGAAACCATGGTTGAACCCATGGATATTTGCAGAATCATCAGAACCCAGGGTTTTGTTTGTTGATATTTACAGAAGAATCGAATCAGAGCCCAGGGTTTCTGACCGGTGGTGCGAAAGCGGATTTCGCGTCCATCCAGAGTACCACTGGATCAAAGGACTCCATCCGCTCCCTGGGCATCGAGCGCCTCGGCGAAGGATCAAGCGTTGACTCTTGCTTCGGTTCGGCGCGCCGACTGCGCAACGGCTGTGGCTCAAAACACCGGAAGTCCAAAATGGCGCAAGCCCTGGGAAGTGGAAACATGGACCAAGACCTGCGGTTTGCCCCTCCTGTTTGATTTTGGGCCACACCCAGTACTTGTCCAACAAATGCCACCCAAAGGTCGGAACTCAGAAGCCAGCAGCCAGCGCATTTTTCGTTGCTGCAACCAAACCAACACCAAACAGACGCGAAGCACATGCCTTCCCACGCTTTGAACATTGTTGACAACCTACCCTTCCTCAGAACAAACACAATTTGGTTGGCGCTGGGCTTAGGTGTGGCGACAGAGAGGAGGCCGATGAGCTAGCACAGTCGGAGCAGGAGACACTTCTCAAGGCCGCCAACAGTACCGGGGACCTCACCAAGTTCCAGTCAAACCAAGGCGCGTTTCAACGCCCACGGGTGTGTCCAAGGGGACACTGAAAACGGGAAGCTTCTTTGGTTTGGAACGAAGGCTTGGTGCCCAAAGGAAGCACCCCAATGATTCTGATTTCTGGTTTTGAAGCTCGAGACCCTTTTGGGGTTACCAGCATGTTGTTTTTCTCCGAAAGCAGGGTGAAGGGTGCTTCAATGCGGAGCCCTTGGACTAAGTTGGACAGAGTCACTTGCACAGACCGAGTTGCACAGAGCCATCTGCGCAGACCAAATTTCACAGAGCCATTTGCAGGGAGCCAGTTGCACAGAGTCACTCACGCAGTCGAAGTTGCACAGAGCCATGCGCACAGACCAACTTGCATGCAGCAATCCGCACAGAGCCACTTGGCAGAGCAACGATATTTAAGTTTAAGCTTCTAGAGCAGATTCTTAGCGCGCGTGAGAGTGAGCTTGGTAAGAAGGGGGGTGGGGCTGTTGTCACCGCACGAAATTGCGGCCCTGTGTGGGGATCGGTGTGGTGGCTTTCAAAAAAGTGAGGTCTTTTACGATTTCTGCGTGGTGATGTAAGACACTGGGGTTTTGATGATCTTGAGGTCCGCTGATCCCCTCCGCCGGGATTACCTGTCAAGTCGCTCCCGCCGCGACTTCGCTCGAATCTCGCTGCTAGCGAGCTGGTCCTTGGAAGTTGTCTCGTGGCTTGCGCGGCTGCTCTTGTACTCGCGCGGTCGCGGGCTCGATCTCCGCTGGTCCCACGTCAGGGTCGCAGCTCCGGTTGGAAATCTTTAAGTACAACATGTGAATGCGCGACGGAGCGATGCGCACCGTTTTAAGATCAGCAGATGCAAAGTCAGCAGACACAAAAATATTACTATATCAATTTTTCGTGGGAGAGAGAGAGAGAGAGAGAGAGAGTGAGAGAGTGAGAGATAGAGAGGGAAAGAGCGAGATCGCGCCATGCTACGTTGGCCACAAATTGCAAAAAAACTATCCGAGACCCATCGCCCTCTAGTTTGGGGATCCCTTTATGTTGACATACCCAATTGAGGGAACCGATACCCCATTTTCCTTGCTTCCATTTTGTTGATTATGTTTTTTTGCCCCGAAGGTTGATGAAGGTTGATGGTTGTGGAAAATTTGGGTTTCTGTCCAGTTTCTGTGAGCCAGGGAAACTTCCTTGAAAGTTGGTCGGCAAAGTTCCAGTCAAGAAGCTATTTTGGCTCGATTTTCCTTCTTGTTTTGGGGCCGTTCAGGGCTGTTTAGGGCTGTGAAAAGTTTTACTGTGTTCATTTCTTCCACGTTCCTGGAAAACATGGAACCCAAAAGGATCCGCAAGCTGTTTGTGACGATCTTACGTCTTAGCTCTTCGCTCAAGTGAAGGGCAAAGATGATATATACATCCCTGTTCCAGTTGCAGTGGACAAGAGGCCTTCTCAAGAGGATGGTCTTCCCACACGCTCCGGTCTTCCATGGTTAAGTTCATGGAGGGCCTTGGGAAGCTTCCGGTAGACCCTGTCGCTCACCGGGTGGCAAACACAGTTGCAGTCTAGATCATTGGGTTTTAGGTTGCGATGTTCCGTGAGTGGACAGGGGCAGCCCGTTTACAGTGATCAGAACGAATACCATGAGGCGATAGCCTTTTCACCTGTTTGCTTGTTTGGGGGTTCCTTTATGTTGTCTTTCAACCAACAAAAGTAGTTCCTCACCTTCTTTGTGAGGCGTTTGCTGTGCTTCCCCATGAGGCATAGCCTCGCCAGGCTTAACCTGTTTTGTGAGTATTGCATCACACGCCTGATGCGTTTCCTGTCGGCTCTCGACGGGCGTTGCCAGACTCTCATTTGTGCCCTCAACTGTTCTTGCGGGCTTCCTGCATCTGGGCATGTGCTTTTTCAGGGCACCCTTGTTGGGAAATCCAAAGGACATCAAAATGGAACCCTTTTGGGGGTGGTTTTAAAGGGAAACCAACAGGAATCCACCTATATCGGTCCGCCATGAAACAGACCCGACCTTTGGGTTGTTTCCTTTCTCCTTTTTGTTTGCGGGTGTCAAGCCCTCAAAAGTCGTAGCCGAGAACACGAGTGCCATGTTTTTTCCCGTGGGTCATAGGAACTAGATACAGGAATTTCCACGGGAGCTTGGCATACCCCAAAAGAAGCTGATGTCCTGTAGAGCTTCTCACTTCTTGGCTGGTTTCTTGAGGTGGAACTGCGCGGTCGTCACTTGTTTTGCAGGTAAGGACACCGCCGCGTACATGGAGAACCAATGCAGCGAAGACACCTTGGACCTCGACTTCTTCATAGGCGCCACCCCTAATATCAGGGGAAGTTTCAGTAGCAGTACGGCTGTATTTTATTTTAGTTTTTGGGGTCCCTTTTTTCTGGGTTTTAAAAGGAAGCCAAAAGGACAACCGAAGCCATTTTGGGGGGTCCCCTAGAAAAGACACACCCATACCATGTTGATTTTGGTGCTTAAGCTTGCTGGTTCTCAGAGAATGAGGGAATGACCCCTGTAAACCATCCCCAATGGTTTCCTTCAAGGCACGGGTCATTCCCTGCGCACCAGCAAGCATTTCCATGCTTAAAGGGGCATACCATGTGGCTACATAGCTTTGGTGCATTTTGCTTGGATGTTAGGACTTTAACTTTTTGCAAACTAATGGGTTTTCCATTAAACCACTAAAAGTTAAACTTGTAGCAGGGGAGCAAAAAGCAACCAAGATAGAGTGGTTGAATAATTTGGTTGAAGCTACCCGGAATTTTGTTTCAGGCGACGGCCTGGTGGTCTAACAGATGTCGGAGCAAGGGACACTGTTGGACTGGTAGAAACGGGGGAGGGGCAAAAACCATCACATGTGTCCAGCCACTAGAGACAGGAGTGTGTAAATGTTTTAAATGCCCATTGCTTAAACATTTCTGGTTCCAGGGACGGTGACTTCCGTCAAATTGCTTAACAACTAACCCAACCTTGCGAGGGGTCCTTTGCGTTCTTTGGGATACCAGTGCCCAACAGGCAACCTGCAGCCGGCTCATCACCTACATGCGAACAGCTCCTACTTGCTGCAGGCCTACTCTGTGAAGATGCACCGCAACATCGCCAGACTTAGCTTGCCCTGTTTGCTTGTTTGTCACATGTTGCGTCGCGGCCTGTTTTTTTTGGTAGTTGTTCACATTTTGTGTTGTTTGGTCTTTCTCTATGTTCCTTTTTCCCCATGTTGTTTTTTCATCTTTCTGTATTTTCCCGTTGATGTAGACCAACATGAGCTCACGTCCAGGTATGTCCCACCAGTTGGAGTTCCATGCAAAGGCCGCTATGGTGCTCCATGACGACTCCAACGGCTTGGCACATCACTTCGTGGCGCACCTCAAGCACCAGGACATCGGTTTTGCGCACTTTGGAGCCAAGCTTTTGGGAGTCAAGGTCTCAACCCGTTATTCCAACTTCAAAACGAATGGGTCGGCTTTTTTCTAGGTGGTTTGGATTCAATTATTTACCCTCAAGAACCAAGGGTCAAATCTCCCAAACCACCAATCCAACCAAGCGGGACCTGACTGTGGGAATTTGTGTCAACGCAGCTTTCCGTGTCCCTAGCCAACCTGAAAATCTTGCCCATAGTTTAGGTCATGGGTTTGACTAGATGCAAAGCAGCCTACGCGTTTTGCGCCCCAGAGTGGGGCCAAGAGTGCTTGAATTTTGAGGGGAAGTCGTTGTTTTTTTTTCTCGGTCTTGGGAAGTTTGGGGGGGATTGAGGGGAGGGGTCTTGATGTTTGCCCGAGTACCTGAGTTTGCCAAGCTTGAAATGTGGATCCGTTGTCGAGATCCAGTTCTTGCGACTGCTTTCCCAGGTCAAGTTCGGACGGCCAATCTTGGTGCGAAATCGGCAGGGAATGAGACATGGAAGGACCTTTTTTTTTTTTTCGGGTTCCCCCAAAAAAGACACCCCACAATGTCCGTTTTGGTGCTTGACCCTCATAAACCATCCCCGATGGTTTCCTAGGAATCCCCTTCCCGTTCATGCCCAACACTCCGTGATTCCCTTCTTATTGCACCAAGCAATCACAAGCGGTTGCTTTCACAAGCAATGAAGGACGCTGCCCGCGTTGCGAAAGCCACTGGCATCGCACTGGAGAGCCCCGAGCACTTGAAGACCTCCGTGCACCACTTGCTGCACGAGGTCTTGGCCCAAAGACGCGACGAAAAATGCAACACACCCCCAAAAAGAAATGGACTTGGGGGAGGGGGCCTGAGCCCTGGAATTCCATGTGTGGTTCCAATTCCTTTTTTGGGGAAGACTACGACAATTGAAACTAGTGCGCATCGACCCATCAAGACAAACCGGCAACAGCGGGAATCAATGGGGATCCGGACATGTAAGTATTTGTATATGTGTTGAATAGGGATATGAACCTCAACATGGCGTCGCGGTGTTTGCTTCACTTGATTTGGGCACCCTCCAAGAAAACCCGGCTTTCTGAGGCTTCTCAAAATAACTGGTGACCCACGTCCTTCTTTACGCACCTCAACCCCCCCATTCTCATTATGACCTTCCATTTGCCTAACAATGTGTTCGTTCTATTTTCCCCTTTTGGTTGTGAAGGGAATCGAATTCACTACTGGACCAATTTTATCTTTTTTCCCAGAGGGCAAAAATGCAAATGGAGGTTAAGGCCCTTATATTAGAGGGTGATTTTGAGGATGTCCCAGGTGGCGCGATCCGACCTCACAGACAAGCAGGTAGCTCGCATGCACCAGCTGGATGAAAAGCATCACGAAGCCATTCACGGGGAGAGCAAGGAGATGATGTGCTTCTTGGCTCTGGAGACGTGGAAAGGGGAACCATTGCAACTTAGTGACTACCCTCCCACCAATGAACAGCTGGAGCCTGACGTTTGGGGTCCTTTCAAAAGGAAAATGTTCGAAACTAGGACATCACCTCCCCCTTCCTCAATGTACGGAGAGGTGGGGGTATGTAAATGTACGCGAGTTTTGCTTGTGCATTTCCGAGGTGCACGGGGGGGCGGTCCAGCGGAAAGAGTGTACAATTTTCAAGTGGTGGGGGGGGGGGGGGAAGATAGAAATGTACAGATCTCAGGTTTTTGCTCAAGCCAGGCCTACCCCCCCACCCCCCCCCCCGCCAGTGTACATTTCTGCGCCTTCCGGGGGAAATCATATTTGTACACTGCAGGGGCCCCCCACCAACCCCTCCCCCCCACCCCTTTGTCTAACATGATGACCGCAGCGGAAATGTACAAAGTTATGTTGGACCCCCGCAAATATCTATCATAGACCCCCACATAATGTACAGCCGGATGGGTGGGGGGGGGGGGAGTGGGGGGGTGGGGAGTGTTTCTTGTTTTGTTCTGTGCTTGTGTCGCATGATCCACTCATGAAGCAATCTCTTGTATGCATGGCCCAAGGCCTGGTGTTTAGCTCATTACCTGCAGCAGCAACAGTGTAAAAAGGATCACATTGTGGTCATTTCCCTCTCTGAACGCAAGATGTCGAGTGAAGAGGACTTTTACGGAGCATTCTTAGCAACCGTCAAAACAGCTTGAGTTTCCATGAAGAGACCATCAATCTTTCGATGAACGCAAAACTGCCTCCATCGTATGACGGCCGTGTTTGTTGGTTTCGATATGAAGATCTGGCACGGGACTGGATGACATTCACGGTAGAACCGGCAAGACAAGGCCCGCTCCTCAAGAACCGTCTCGTTGAGGATGCGGCAGTATACCGCAAACTTTTGGAGAAACAATGGTGTGGAGTATTTCCAATTTCGCGCACAGAATGTCTTCCTGTATAGATTCCTCAGTCTGTTCAATCATCGCCGAGGTAATTCTGAATTCGTGACCTTTCTCAGCAGGTTCAAGCCGCTGGCAGATCCAATGTTTACACCACCAACACGATTCAGCAGTCTCCAGCTCGCCAGCATTGCCACCGGATCCAGGTGCTGATTCCCTCTTCTATAATGAGAAGGACAAGAAATATCCAACTTGGGCAGAATTTTGTGAACAGCGACCGGAACATATCTGGTCAGAATCCCATGCGGAGTCAAGGAACTCACATCACCTGATCCGTCAAAGAAGAGAAAGGCGTACCTGAATATCCTCAAACATGTGTTGCAGTCCACAAGAACAAAGACGGCCAGAACCGACGACCACATGGAACAGACTCAGACCAGCACACCGCGGCTGAATATCCTCAGAACCTAGAGCGTCCACCGGTATACCCTGGAAACAAGAAGAGAGGGGATCTCGACGACTGTCATTCTTGGACTTATCCAGAATAAATGCGACCAAGTCGCACAACACAACAGTCATTGCAAACACTTTTACGGTTTGTAGATCGGGGCTTGAAACACATGGTAGATGTGATCACCAGCGAAGCAAATTCAGCATGCAACAAGCTCAACAGGAGCCAGTTGGTATCGCACCCGGAGACTTCCGCAATTCGTTTGGCTGTAAAGGAATTGTAAAATGTTTCAATGAGGCCCAGAAAGACCATTGAACCAGCTTCGAATCAGCTCCGAATGTGCTGCATGCAGCCTCGCTCGAGAAAATCCATATTGGAATCTGCTCTCAATTATGGCACCGCGTGCAATTTGGGGCGTGATGGATTCTATGGTGTGTCTTCCAGACGAACCGAATGACAGGTCTTCGAGAACGGAACATATATCCGACGATCTCAAACCGGAGAATCAGCCATTGAGCAACAGGGTGACTTCAGGCGAAAGATGCACACTCCTGACCAATGATCAGCTTCTGATCGGGCCAAGTGATTCAGATTGGCACCATCCGCTCCTTGTGAATATCGATGTCATGCATGAGAACAGCAACATCTCAGAGGCAGCGTTGAAACGGAAGAGAGAGAAGGAAAGAGAACGCGGATACTCCAGCTGACGAGTAGCCAACATTGGTGCGACAATGTCATCCAAAATGACATATGGTCTTTGCATATCCGTTTGCTCCGGTTCGCCTGAATTTCTCGCCAGTATTCTTGGCACAGCCCCTGTTTTCTGTAGATGCCGTGTACATACCAGGAGATTCTCACTCTGAGCCCGTCAAAAGATACGTGTGTCCGTCCTAGAGTGTTTTTCGAAAACCATGATTTGAAGGCTACAGTGCAGAAATCAAGTGTGCTGCTACTGCGCAAACTCCGTTAATCGCTCAATGGCATATTGCTTTGAATCTGAGATGCCATGAGTGGAAAGAAATTGGTGTCTGTTTTGTTTCTTGTTTTGTTCTGTGCTTGTGTCACATGATCCACTCATGATGCAATCTCTTGTACGCATGGACAGTATAAAAAAGTCCATCGCTTTGCTGATTGTGGAACTTCGTAGTACTTGATCCTTCAAGGACCAAACACTGCCGAATATTTCATATTGTGATCATTTCCCTCTCTACAGATTTACTCCTCTTGCATCTTCCCGACAAGGTGTATTGCTGGCCCTATTGGGGCCCCGTATTTACAAGAATACTGTGGATGGCTGAACAAATCTGATTCGATTCCCGATGAACAATGGTTCTCAAGTGGTGCAGGATTTCGTGCATCCACAGTAGCACTTTGGGCCAGAACCCTTTTATGACTCCCATTACAGTAGCTCTGAAACAGTATTGAAAGGGTACCTAATAGCAACTTCGTAGGGGCTAGTGACTAGTAGCACGAAGGGGCCTACGATGAGTCGACAGGTCGGCTGTTGGCTTTGCTTCCAAAATGCCCCACTCAAAATCTGCTCACTTCCTTGTGAGCCACAATCAAAACCTGGGCAGATGAAGACTGGCAAGGGGCAACCCGCAGACGCCTTGCTAATACCTTACATGGTTCTGGATAGAGCATTTTCATGCCAGGTTTTGATCATGACTCGTATGCGCTGCAGGGTAATACTGTCACATTTTGGGGACATCCGACCAGCAAATCATCGCTGCGGCAAACTGGATTCTTGCCATGTTCTGTAGTCCTCAAAATGACAGGGTCAAGATTTAGCGGATCAACTTGCGCAATCTTTAAAACAGGGGACATGGGCGTGTTTTGGAATAGGACATCCAACCTGGATGAGTTTTCCTTTGGCTTCCCAGAAAGCCACCCCCGAAAAATGTCCTCGAACATGGTGTTTTCCTTGTGGTGTCCCTTACCCAGAAAACGACACCTCAAGGTAGCCTCCAGACTAACAGCCGGAAGCTCCAGAACAGACCCCTAAAATAGAAGTCGGTCCAACGGGAACACCCCCAAAATGGCTCAAAAAGCTTTCTTGGTTTTCCTTATATTTTCCATTTTCCAGCAAAAGACACCCAAACAAAGCAGGGTTTCCCGCCACTTTCCGCGAGAAACGCCTGGCCGAGGCGTGAACCATGCCAAGAGGCAGCAAAAGGCACCGGCGGCCTCGCCGCTCCACAGTCAGGCGGTCAAGGATACGGGGGTCTAACCAGGGGCTCTTTTTGAGGGGCCCCCGTGTTTTCTGTGTCTTTCCTTTGTTTTGGGGGGGTCAAAGGGAAACCGGAAAACCAAAACTTTGGTGGTCCCCTTGGAAAGACACACCTATATTATTTCTTGTTTTGTTGGGTTTAAACATCACCTAAAGTGTGTAAGTGTCTGTTTTTGAGCAAACCAGACCCAGGCCCAAGGTTCACGAAAGTAATTTTAGCTATGCGTCGGGACCAAGATCGGTGGATGCGGTCAATTCCATTGTGATTTGACCCACGTCCACCGATCTTCGTCCCAACATGTGAAAAGCAGCAAGAAGACGAGCCTTTCAATCGGTCAGCAAACAACGCCGTTCCGTAGAGTCACCATGATTGCACAACTCATGAGATGTGTTGTCAATGAACAAGAACGGTACCATCTTCCCACCCTCAACCCTCCCGTCCTGCAGAATGACAAGGCGCGTCCTTTCTGGCTGCGCAGCCGTTTTTCTGTGAGAATGTGGGTTAAGCAAAGATACCAAGCTGTGACATTCACATGCAGTACCAAGTATGATACAAGGGATTCCTACATTGCTGTAGGGGTCAATAATGTACAATTCAAGTAACACACACCCCGCCCGCACCGATCTTGGTCTCGACGCATACCTAATCTTACCGCGCTCAAGCATCCAGGGCTGCTTCCGTTCTGCTTTTAGGTTACCAATTCAGACGACTTTCGGCTTTCGGAATTTCGAGGGGGCTTGTGCGCGCGAGGATTACATTGACTGCAACTGTGAGCAGAACCAGCCGACGATGGTGTGCCAGGCCAAGCACGGCATGGCCTTGCGCCAAGAAGCCAAGCAGCTGGCGCAGAAGTTGTCCCAAGCCACGAAGCCACCTGACTTGGCTCAACAGAAAGCCCACAGCACAAACCCAGACAGTAAGTATTTGTAGCTTATAGGCGCCCATCTTCTGAAACGAAGAATCGATCGCTACTGGACATATTTGCATTCTTTCCTGGGGGCGTCAACGCAAATGGAGGCATAATGCTGTTGATCAGAGCAATGAAAACGGGCAGTGAAGGCAAACCGTCTGAGCCATACATGGGTGCCGCCCTTTTGAACTGTACTGGGTTCAACCAACATTTAGTCCCTGCCCAAGCTATTTGCTTGGCGGGCCAACTGTGCACCCTGGGTTGATTTAGTTCACTTCAGGGTAAACATTTGGCCCGTTGCAAATAGCTTGGGAATAGGCTCGTAAGAGTCGGGAAAGGGGTTTGCATAGAGGTTAAGTGGGTCAATATCTTGTCCATGTGACGCAACATGCTCACCAACCCCGAAAGTTCTTGCCCTTTCCATGACCTTGGAGAAAACGGTTTATCATCCCATAGCACTTTCTGAGTTTCTCTTTTTTAGTTTGTTTTTTAGTTTGGACAATTGGGTGTGTCTCTTTTGAAGTTACATCTTTTTGGGGTGGTTTTAATTTTGGGGTGGTTTCAATGTTGGACCCCCCCAAAAAGAGACGCCCTTTTCTTGGGCAAAGGTTGGGCGACTTGGCGCCTCTCCGGAAGTGTCTCCAGTCCCGAAAGATCAGCGCCCAGTGAGGGCCATGCAGCTGGACATGGACCAGGCGAAAGAGGCGTCCCTCGCGGCCCTGGCCCGGGCCGAGCACGACGCCGCCCTGGTGGCCCCGGACGCCGACGCCTACGCCGCGTTGGCCAGGAGAGATGGAGCGAAGCGCCCAGACTTTCGGGGCGAAGCAAGCTGGTTTCTGGGGGGTACAGTCAGGGCTTCGTGGCGGCTCAAGACTTGGTGTTGAAGTCCTAAGGGGAATGTAAGGGAGGTGCTTCTTCAATCAATCTGGAGCCTCAAATTTGCGGGTCTCCTTTCTCTTTCCCTTCAAAGCCACCTGAACAGGGGTATTTTCAACAAGACGCCGCCCCATGATGGTTGACACATGTTAGGGAAACCCAAAGGAGCTCGGTTGACAAATGGCCGGACCCGAAGAGGTTGACTCGCCCGAAGAGGCTAAACAATACTGAGCTTAAAGAGCTTGGCAAGGGTTGAAACAGTCGGCCAGCGCCACCCCCGTTTCCTTTTAAAGGGTTCCCCGAAGCTTCAAGATTTGCTTATGGGTATGTGGCTTTTTAAATGGACCCCACCGCTGGATGTGTTTGTTTCGGGACTTCAGCAACTGGTTCAAGACAGGACTCACTCCCTGATTTCCCCGCCTGTCACCTTTTTGGGAGGACCAAAGTCGCGAGCAACCAGCTCGGCCTTTTTTCGATTCCACTCGATCGAACCACGCGATCCCGACCCGAAGTGGAAGGAGACATGGCTTGCAGTCCAACGCCAGCAAGGTGGCCATCGGACCCTGCAAGACTCCCTTCGCTTGCAAGGTCTGTATCAATGGGGCAAATTGCATTGAAGCTCGGCGCAAGCTCAGATGGTTTTTTCACTTTTTTTCATGATGAGTGTGAAGCTTTTCTTTTTTTCTCCTTTTTTCCATGATGAGTGTGAAGCTTCTTCTTCTTCTTCTTCTTCGCCCTCTTCTTCTTCTTTTTCACCCTCCTCTTATGTTTCTGAATATTCCATTGTGGCTCGTGATGATGTTTCGTGACACGTGAAAGGGAGTCCAACAATCCTTTGCAATCTGAAAGTCATATGTTGGTGTTGAACACATATTTTGAACATCTTTGTTGTTTGAGATTTGAACCTGGTTCTGAAACGCATGTCTTCAGGTTCATGCGAGCCATAATCTGACAATCACATGCGCTGGATGGTTGACATCAGAAAAACGGAATCTGATCCATGCTGGAGCATAATTGTAACAAAGCAATCATCTGACAAATCTGTTGACACATTTGAAACAGAATCCTATCCTCCCACCAATTCACATGGAACCGTTCTTTTTCGTTCGGGACCCAGTCCCTTTAAAAAGCACATCCAAACAGGGACCGATTCCCGGCCTGTCGAAGGGTTGCGGTTGTCAATTGGTGGAAGGGTGTTGTATTTATTTCCCCCAGAGCAAAAGGTGGTTCTCCAAAAGGCGATTCCCCAAATGGGTGCCATTGAGGTTCCATTTGCTAGGAACCTTTTTTGAAGAGTCTTACTTGTCCAAGGCGAATCGACCTTTTGACCTTTTGGTCTTCCCACTTCCATTGCAATCAAAAGGTATTTGGGTGCCATTGAGGTTCTACTGTAAAAATGGGCGAAATCCTGCACCACTTGGAAACCATGGTTGAAACCATTGTTTGTTGGTATTTACAGGGGAATCATCATACACCAGGGTTTCTTAGGTGGTGCCTAACAGGATTTCGCAACCATCCACAGTATTGCTAGGCAGATGGTTTGCTCCCCGCTCGCTTTTGGAAGGGCCTCGATTTTGTTTTCGTTTTCGCGATTTCGCCGCTGGGTTCCTTTGGGTTCCGAGGAAGCGCCTTTTCCGAAGACGGGGAAGGACTCCTTTGCGCCGGAGTTGCAAGCGGGGTGGGAGTTCTCTGGTCGTTTTCTTTGGAGTTACGCCGGAGTTGTTCCCCTCACGCCCTGAGTTCCTGGACTTTAAACTTTTTGGGAAGACCATTTTAGTGGTAAACAGAAAGTTTGAACTTTGTTTGGCCCATCAACTCAGGAAGTGAGTCCCCACATTTGTGTGGGGTTCTTATTTTGTGGGTTCTTGTGTGGGTTCCCTTTTTGTGTTACATTTCTTGTGTGGGTTCTTATTTTTACCCCGCGCCCTCACTCGCTCGCTCACTCACTCGCTCGCTAGCTCGCTCGCTCACTCACTCCCTCGTTCGCTCGCTCGCTCGCTAGCTCGCTCACTTACTCACTTACTTACTCACTCTGTCACACTGTCACTCTCTCACACTCTCACACTCACTCGCCCGCTCGCCCGCCCGCCCGCCCGCTCGATTTATTGGCAGGCGCAGTATTTTCTGCATCTGGGTGTGTGTTTGCGTGGCAGGGGCAACATACGGCAGCTGTCCAAAGGGACTGGATGTTGTCGAGCGCGCGGCCTGGGGGCGCAATCTGCGTGACAGGCGCAGCGCAGCCAAATGAAGCCAAACGGCCGGATAAAGCCAAATATAAAGCCAAATAACTCTAAATACATCCAAACAAGGTCTAATGAAGCCAAAATGCCAAATAAGCAAAATCCTAATAAGGCCAAATAATACCAAGTAAAGCAGAATAATGCAAAATGAGGAACATGATGCAAAACGATGCAACAAAAGCAAATCGCAATGAAGCCAAATAATGCCAAATAAAGCAGAATACTCCAAAACAAAGAAAATAAAACAAAATCATGCAACATAAGCCAAACACCGCCAAATAACGGCCAAATAAGGCCAAGTGCGGCCGAATAAGGCGAAATCATGCCGACGGCTCAACTTCCAAAGGGCTCGCTTTTTTATGTTTCGAGTGGCTGGCTCAATTTCCAAAGCGGACTTGTCCAGTTCTTCCCCGGCCATTTCAAGGAGGTGGCCGCCTGACCATGTTTTTTTTCCGACGCCGCGGCACTGCTTCAGGCCGCCTTTTTGCACCGGGAAATCGAATAGTTGGAGCCCGGGGGGGTCGGGAGTTGGGCCTTGAACAACGTTGCGCAGAACCGGGGGCCGTGAGTTGGAAATCGCGAAGGAAGGTCCAGGGTGGGATGGGAGAGCTGGAGCCTGAGATGGATTTTGGGACCATCCGGGCAAGAAACGGAACGAATCTGGAAAGCTGGCCACTTGCGTTTCGCGAACCTTCCCAAAAAGCCACGCACACACCCGGAAGACCGCCAGAACAGTAAGAAAGTTGTTTGTCATGCATCCCAGACGAACAGAACCGAACCTTCTTGTAAAATCCTGCTCAAATTCCAGCTCCCGGCCCGCTACTTTCTCTCCGACTTCAAATTCCCGGCCCTTTTGTTTACAAAAAACCTTGTTCGAATTCCAAGTCCTGGCCCGCTGATTTCCAAATTCCAATTCGAGTTCCAACTCCCAGCCTCGAGAGATACAAGATCCATTTCAAGCTCTGACTGCTAAAAACAAAGTGTCTCTGGGCATTTCACTTGTTTTTCAAGTTGGGTCACACGTTACTCAAATATATATGCTACAATAGGGGTGATTTCCAAACCCCCGTTCGGGTTCCAAGTTCAGACTCGCTGATTTCTTGAAAACCCTTTTCGAAATCCAGCTCCCGGCTCCCGCAAAGTGTCTAAACTCGATGGCTCAGTTTTCAAGGCAGACTTGTTGAATTTCGGGGCGACGGCTCAACTTCCAAAGCGGGCGGTTTTCTTATTCTTGAGCCGATGGCTCAATTTTCCTGGCAAACGTTTTTCAATGTTGAGGCGACACGTGTTTTGCTTTTGGGCCGATGGCTCAATTTCCAAAGCGGGCTTGTCCAAGGTTGAGCCCCCGGCTCAATTTTCAAAGCAAGCATTTCAAGTTTCGAGGTGGCAGCTCAATTATCCGTGTACTTAGAGAACCTAAGCCCTGGAGAAAAAGCAGGGTGGAATTCAAGACCCCGGGTTTGACTGGGTGTTCTATGGAATTATGGTGTTGCCCCAAAAAATCCTGGGTTTTTACCGCCTCCGCCACAGGTGCCTGACTTCAGGCTGAGCAAGGCGGTGTGGAGAGGTTGGCTCGGAGTTTGGGGGTGACAGACAGGGAAAGAACGTTTGCAATAGATGATGATCAAGACATATCAAACCAAGCTTCCAACCAGAAGGTCAAATGACATGTATACACCCGGAAAGGGAAACCAAAGCAGAGTCACTCCGCCACTTTTCGCGCAATGGCAGAAGAGGAGAGTGATCCACGGCCGGCCATCATTGAACTGGTCCTGACGCCAAGCGTCTAGCCAGCACCCGATAGCTGTTTTGAGGCTCATCCCCTTTTGGCTTTCAGCAGTGAACTTGTGCCTGCGAAGCGCCATGGGTAAGAAGACGCCCGTGCCACCTGTGAATCTTGAGGGCATGGCCGTTCTTTGGGACAGCAAGGAGCCCATAAGAAAACGTCTCCGAGCTGGCGACAGCTTTCTTCACACAGATTCTGGCTCAGATCCCACGGTCAAAACCTGTGTGTTGAATGCAGATGTCATCCTCCCGTTGCTGGAAAAATGCCGGAAGCTGGCAACAAAATCCCCGACATTGAAACAATCGGGCAGGAGATCACGAAGGCATACATTCTGAACAAGCGAGACCCTGAACTTGGCAACATCAAGGAGGGCTGGTACGTTCGGAAGCTGACAGTGTGTTGCAAGATGAAGGCTAGGCGGTCTGAGGTCTCCACGGAATCACGTTTTTCATTCCATAGTCTGTTTTTCTGTGCATAGATTTTTACACAATGATCATTACTTGATGCGGGCCTGAAGCAAGAACCGGAAGTTCCAGAAGTTCGTCCTCACTTTCTCGAGGAGACCCTGCGCTGCTTTGCTTTGACTTTTCAATGTTTAGGGGGTTCCGCAAGCCAAATGCATCACCTTAAGTTTCTCCTGGGCAGGATGTGATTAACGAGGTCAACGCACGCACAGCCTCTCGAACCGGCTTGAATGATGAGGAAGAGGCACGTTTTGTGAAACAACTTGCAAGGGTGGCCCTGGAAAACGTGCCTGATTCAACCAAAGATGCTGACCAGCCTATGTGCACGGATCACAAATATAACTCAGCGCAGGGTGAGGAGGATGCCGATGCTTATGACACAGAGGCAGAGCCAAGCAAGCCTTTGCCACCCACACCCTCTAAAGACAACCCCTCGCGATCCGGCGCCGGCAGTAGCACGAAGCCCGAAGAGACTTTGACCGTTGATGTGGAGTCAATGCAGCCCAACAGCCAACCCATCTTTGCTGACCAACCTCTTGAAAACGGCCCTTCTTCAACTGTCCCGGCAACTCCGGTCACTCCTGCTGCCCTGCGCAGCAGCGCCTGCAAACGAGGGCCGGTCGACGGGTGTCTAGCATGAATAGCAACACCTTTGCATTGATACGTTTTGTTGATGGGCGCGTAGAAAACAGAACTGAACATCTCAAAGCAAATTAAGGAGAGGTGGAGCAGGACGATGAAGAGGAACTCATGCACTTCCTTTGTTTGCAAAAGTCGCTGGCTATGCCGGGGTCCCAGCTTAGCAGTGTCCCTCATGTGCTTATAGTCTCTAGGGGATGCGTTATCATAAGCACAAACATTGAACCATGCGGTGATTTTCTCAGGCTCCGGAGGGAGCGCGCTGAGATGGAAATGCTGGCGGAAGTGAAAGAGGAGAGCAAGCGCGCAGGCAACGAAGAGACTCAGGCCGTGGACATCATGCAGGCAGATCCTGACAAGCGCGGAGGCGCAGAGAGACGACTACTTGCTAAGGTCCAAGGGGACATTCACCGGCCGAGCGACACCACGCTCACATTGGGCTCCTTCATTGAGACTGGTGACGCCGTCCAGGAGACGAGCAAGGGCAAGGCGAGCGCAAAGAGCACGTCCGTTGGCAATCGCGCTACGGACAAGAAGGGCGACGAGGAGAAGCACGTGCCCTGCTGAAGTCGCAGTTGAAGTCGCTGTGCTTGCCGATGTCAATGACCAGGCCTGGACTGACGTGGAGGGCAGGTCCTTGGGCAACTCCGAGGCGGATGAGAAGGGCAAGAGTGACGCGGTTTACATCGATCCTGGTCAAGGCACGAACGCGATGTCTTCAGCGACTTGAAGGATGAGGCCGGTGTCACAATAATTTAAAAAAGCATTCCAATCCCACAAACTCAAACTACGCAACTGAAGTCTTGTTGATCGCACGTTTTTGTCCACATTGGAGCGTGTCAACGCAGGAGCTACCTGCGCTGATCCGAGATGCTCAGATCTGGCTCAAGGCGGTCAGGAAGCGCAAGAAGAACAAGAAGGGCAAGAAGTCTGCGTCTACGCTCTCTTTGGGGTCATGCTCCTCTTTGCCCGGCAAGGCCTCTCGCGGCCGAAGCGTGCTTAAAACCGCACCGAAGCCGAAACGTGGAACGACTTGAGTTTTGCGCAGGGGTTTCCAGCTATGTCGCGGCAAGTTGAGTCACAAGGCTCACGTCTCGAGCTGTGGAACATTGCGTGATGGCTTGGATCATGTTCGGAAAGAAACGGAAATGGCAAAGCTGCTTGCGGAAGAAGAATGCGAACTGGAGAAGCAAATGCAGGAGGCCAGCGGTCCCTGCACATTCCCTTTTTGTTTGGTCAGCTGTAGAAAGATCGATCTAGCAAGGAGATGGAGCAAAAGCTGGCTGCCAGGAAAGCTTCGAAAACCACAAGCCCGGTTCTTGGGTCGCACTACGCGGGAATCAACCAGATCAATCCCAAAATGTTTCAGTAAGTAGTCCATTTCCATATTATGTTGAAACGAAGCCTAATCCTTTTGCACCCACTCTCCTCTCCCACGAAGCTCCTTAAGCTTTCAAGGCTTACCCTCGAAACCCTACTGATATATACGACCAAGCCCTTTGCCGTATGGAGTTGCGCCGTGCAAGTTG